CGCCCTTCTCTAACCCCCCCCCCCTTTAACAGCCAGACCCCAATAGAGTTTTTAGCCAATACTTGAGACCCCATGCATTTCCCGATTGGGGCTGAAGAACCTTTACGTCCCCTTTCAGATTTCCAATCGGTCACTACAAATACACATGATACATTGGTCCTTTCTCTGACGCCGAAGGCCCTCGGACCGAGATGGTTGATCCTGGATCAACACGAGGCCACTCGCTGACCCAAAGAAGTCCCAAGCGTAGCGGGTTTAATAAATGGCACGGTGATCCCATTTCGACGCATTTGGGCCTTAGAGAAAGCGGGCGGAAGGACCTTGTCCGGTGCTGGTCCCTGACTGACACGAGGCTGTTCCATTAAGGCGCCCGTCAAGGAGGAGGAGGGTGGGAGGGGGGGGGGGGGGCGGCGGCTCCGGTCCAGCACGAGCGAGATCCCGGAATATCCGACATGTCCGGATGCCCGGTCCGCCGGGATGTGCACCGCGACGAAGCGAGTGAAACCGAGTCAGGGGCTCCGGGCCCTGACGCGAAGATGGCGGCGTGCCCGACTGGGCTTGCAGTGTTTTGACCGCGGACGGGCTGCCCCACGGAGAGGCCTCGCGCGCGTGTGGCGGGGTTCTGTTCTCGGACGAGGGCCGGCGCGCGCGTGAATGCGTTCTTTTTTTTGGCGGCTGGGCTGCCTCGTCCGCCGGCCCGCCACGGGCGTGGCTGCTGGCCGGACGTTCGAGATGGGCAGCCTCTGGGCTGGGCTGTGTGTCCGAGTCCCTCGTCCAACCGATTGCACCTTATTATTCCCACATATATACAGTGATTGAGCGGAAGCATTGCCTGCAAATTTGGTAGGCGGCGGTTTGTTTGACAGACGGGCTGTAATACCGATTGGGGCTTTACGTCTCACCGGCTCCTAGGGCTATTTCGAGGCGGAACGTCTCTATTACGTATTCATCGGGATTGGGTACATGGGATGCGGTAGTGGTGTGGCCAGGACCCCATCCCAGGATACAAAAGCCCAGAGATGAGCACCCTAACCACCAACCACCATGCCATCACCGCCCGTCTGCGCCACGAACTGCGTCCGGCTGATGAAGAAGAAGGCGTGTCAAGAGTGAAAAGGAAGAAAGCATGTCAGGATTAATGAAGTGGATGGCGAATACAAGTTCACGATTCTCCCAATTCATTCAGCTTATATAACGCAAGCCAGCTCAGTGACAAACACTCGGCTCCGCTGCTCAGATGGTGAACCAACAGCGCCTCTATGCGCTGCGTGCGTAGTGTTTTAAGTAATGTTTGGCAGGCAGTTGAATACATTCGCATTCAACGTTCGCTTTTTTACTCCCTGTTTTCTTACAACCAGGAGTGCGGTTCCCTATTCAGCTGCAGACGTTTTATACCCCTCCGTAACTTGGGTTGCAGCCTGTAGATTTGCGAAAAAGTGAGCCAAATTCGGAGAGAAACCAATTTGTTGGCATATCATCGCGGCACTCTTCGTTATATTTTCATCGATGAGCCAACCAACTTGTTTTGGTAAAGCACGCCCGTTGGAAACGTACCTAATTGAACAAACGAATTGTTTGTAGGCTGGGCCATTGAACGTGTCTCACCACGTAGTAGTACCCGGATTCAGCTTATGAGACGGCCCCAACCCCTCTCTTTGAGAGTAAAGGCATGTATAATTCAGGATAAGCCCCGTTTGCAGGAGCGTGTGGATAATTTGAAATTGGGGGAGGGAGGGGAATCAGCCAAATACAATCATTAACAGCATAGGTGAGCGTGCCAGGAGCTGTAGATCTGTATGCGCGCCTACCTGGAGCAGACATAAAATTAGTCAGCCTTACACATCAGTCATCAATTCCTTGAAAAAAAAACTAAGACACACCACCAACACGTGCAGTGAATAACAAAAAAAAAAAATGCCGCGGAGAATTTCATCCATAGCTCGCAATACCAAACAGCAGGCACCCCGACCAGTGCTTTCCACGAATACTGTGCAGTTACTGCCGAGTAGTCTGCAACCGGAATTACTATGTGCCACCATATTGCGCTACATATATATATATATATATATATATATATATACAATATTGCGTTATATGTTACTGCAATCTCCGATGACACGAGCCAGGGATCAAAGTTTTAATTTTTTTTAATGTGCCTGTTGCCAAGGGCATGCTGACGCGGCAAACTTTGTGTGCTCAAACAGAACGTTGTCCATATCCATGCGCATTGTTTTAACTGGACAACACTGTACCGCATGACGTCACTCGTCGGCTGAGGCGGGCGAAATCGGCTCTGGTAGCCCTCTATCGGGCAATATTCGAACCATTACGGAAAGAGCTGCGAGAAAGTATGACAATATCCTAACCCGTGAATCTCACGCACACTGGATTTTATGAACACTTAACTTTATGAACACTGGACGCTGCGAGCCCGGACTGTCTGATTCCCCTGTGTCCAGGAATATCGGACGGCTTTTGGACATTGTGAACGCTGGATGATGCGATTCTGGACTTTTTGACCACTAGACTTCATGAGTTCTGGACGTTTCAATACGCATCCCAGGCCACAGCCTTGCACTGAACCCAACGCATTACCGCGTGGCCAAGACCCGCATTTCTGCATTCTGGGTAGCAATGCTGTGGCGTCATCATGGGACTAAATCATATGTCACCAACGCTGTGGCGGCGTGAAAACGCTGTTCTTTGCTGGCTGGTTTAGCATGAATATGTCCAAAAGCCGAATTGTTTTCGACCTAGCGCATTTAGTGAAGCATTTTCAGCTGAGAAATGACGTCGGCTTGCAACAGGGCCACAACATTATTGCTGCAATGCGCTTTCAGCCTGCCCCCGACAGGCACATGGGGTTACCCATTCACCAGTGATTTATTCCGAAGAATTCTAGCCGGAAGTGCTTAGAAACAGTCTGTTTAAAAGAGTACAACATGCAACACCAACAACGACATATGATGAAAATGAGATATGGCGGGCTATGCGGGCCCGCAACACCCTGGGACACGCATTGAGAAGTTGGAATGCGCATTTTTTGCCTTAGTGGGAGCCTTGTCAGGGTAGATGCAGGGTTGGCGTGTCCTGATGGGGTTAGTGAGGGTTGAACCCCGGGGGCTTAAACACAGCGCGTGCTATCTCAGTCCAAGATAGTGTAATTTTCCTGTAAAATGGGCCGATTTCTGGCAAGTTTTGGCATTTTTGCCAGTCAAAAAGTCGAAGTCCATTTCTTAGATCCGGAATAGTCTGATAGAGATATTTTAGGGCGCTGGGTATATCATTCTCTGCACACTATTTTTATCTATCCCACTCAACATTATAGATCTGCAAGTTAGCCAGCACATGGGAAGATCATAACACAGCAACAGGGAAGTTCTTGGCACCTGCCCTCCTCACATTGCCCTTTTTCTCATTTCACTCCATGACGGTACCGCAGTGCAAAAATATGTGTGCAATCATTGTCCATTAATCCATTTGATGTGAATATTACACCTGATATTTATCTATTCACATCAACATGTTCCTTTTTCAAAAGCACTTTGCACATAGATATTCGCGCAAGTTGGCCTCAACGAATATGGGGTGGGTGCAGCAACTAGGAAACGTGATTTAGTAGGATTTATTTTGCAGTCAGGTCCCAGTCTTGATTTGACTTAAGACGGGTTGAAATGCAAAATTATTATATCTGTTCATATAGCATTGAAATAAAGGTGCAGAACAGGGTTGCCATGCAGTTCAATGGCGAAATCACCGCTTTAAACCCTGCGATTAATATCTACAAGCCTTTTCGTAGCATCAACCAAAAACCCAACTGCGGGCTACCGAATTTAAGTCCCATGGTCACGTCACGTTTGCGAAGCCTTCTCCAGTAGCCTTGCGCGTGGCGAACAATCCGGCCCAGCTGTCTCAAATGCATGACGCCTTAAAACGCTGCATAGCAAACTAATCACGTTCGTTGCAGGATGCTGTAGCCACCCACGATTCTTACGACTAGTGATAAGCCTAGTTATACTGCTAAGTATGTGGAGTGAATACTGGCTGAAAATATGTGAAAAGCACTGATCCGAATGACATTGGAAAAGCACTGTGTCACCACTGATCTGTGGCGTCAGCACTGATAAAGTATAGTTTGTAGTATGTTCCTGTCACCTGCTAAAAACTATCCTGATTAAAGCTATGACAATGACATTGGAAAAGCACTGTGTCACCACTGATCTGTGGCGTCAGCACTGATAAAGTATAGTTTGTAGTATGTTCCTGTCACCTGCTAAAAACTATCCTGATTAAAGCTACCATGTTCGGAAGGATCTTATGGCTCAACTCGCTCATACAGCGAAACGTCAACGTTTCGACACGTGCTCTACACATGCTCACGGTGCAAGCGTTACCGAGTTCAGTCCAATACTAAGCTTTGAGTTTCGTCTAGCTGGGATGATCTGTTGTAATATGGTCTGGTCTGTTGAAATTTGTTTCCATTTTCGCAATTTTGTCTCCAAGTGGTTCGAAAAAGTGTCAGTTTTTGTCGCCGGTCATATCCGGTAAATCGGAAGCTTTTTTCTCCCCTGCTCGGATTAGTTATCCTGCATTAGTTATCACACGCACTTGTCGTTTCCGTGCGGTTGGTTGGTGCAGTTCGTCCCCTAAACACCGGTGCTCGTACCTGTTCCGTCAATACCAAGGGCGGGAAGCCATATTTGCATTGAATTGTCATTGTTAAAGGCTACAATTTGGCTCTCCATTGATGACAAAATGAATAGCTTGTTCAAACCACCTGCAAATGTGTCTATTTGAAAAACAGAAAATGCCAGACCTACGTACATAAGGCTACAATGGACCCTCCATTGATGACAAAATCAATAGCTTATTCAAACTACCCGCAAAGGTGTCTCTTTGAAAAACAGAAAATGCAAGACATACACCCTTCAGTAGGTGTGCACACAGAAGCTCCAGTTCATATTCGTATAACATGATAACGCATGCCGTTGCCTTTTCAGTCCGTTCATATGTCTCTTCTGTTACGTTGTATATGGATGGACGACCGCATCTTACTACCCGAAGGTCAGTAATACCCACGGTAATTTCCCAAAATAACGTCTTCATGCAACCGTACACTTCTCACGCCAGACTGTAACAGGCTTTTAAAATAGTGTAGTTATGTGGCAAGTTTTGTAAAATATGCCTTGAACAATTTTTAAAACTCTTCAATTGGAGAGAACAAGCAATTTGAGCGAGCCGCGGACAAAACAAGGCATCCCATGAGTCCCAGGTGCCACAATTTTCCATAGCGTCACGAAGTCTTTTATATATTTAAGTCAGTTTATACGCATGTAATCATAGCTCGTGAGCATGGCAGCTCAGGCTCTTTTAATATACAGACAAAAATAATTTGTCCCATGTGATCCCAGGCAGCGGGCAACGGCCCGACGCTGACGCTCGCTGGCTTGGTCGCAGGCATGACGGGGGACGCGCACATCTCATTCTCGGCATTGCTGCGCGAGCGGCTGTGGGTGCCCGACTTGTTCTTCCTCCACGCCACCTCCATCCGCCGGCAGAAGCTGTTCACTCCCAGCGAGGCTCTGCAGGTCTACGCCAACAAGACCATCTTCCTGTCATCGCTGTACGTCAAGTTCGTGCGTCGCATCAGGGCGCCTCGCTTTCAAATGTCATGTTACTTGGTGCTCTAGATGTTCAATGAAAATAAGTTTTGAATAAGATGAAGGAGGCAGCACACATGCCTTTGGCTGAGAAAGCCATCAGTAAATTAGGTGTAGACATTAGTCCAATATGGCATCCAATGCCACGGAAAAATCGCCAAATATCCAAAAGATGAATGATACCAAGTTTTAACACCTGTGTATCTGTCACGGTTAGCTCAGTTGTAGGATACTGATCTCGCAATCAAGGTGACCCTGGTTCGAATCCCTGCAAATCCGAACGGGGAACGCCTGTTGTGACATGGCTGGTAACCAGCCATCCTTCTCTGTATTTCATAAGATCTGCAGACTGCCGGGCCTTCCTGGGCCGAAACGGTGAATACAAACTGACGCCTACAGCCTAAAGTTAATCCGAAAAATGGTCGCCTCCACATTAAGATTTTGTTTTTATGTTTAACAAAAGGCAGGGTCTAAACGCCTGTCTCCATTGCACGTTTCGTTTGTCTTCGGCAGAGGTGATGCCCTGTATGCTGGTCTTGGATGAATTTAGTACCTGCGTGTACCAAACTCCCTAGCATAGCATATCATCAGATTGCAGTAACGAGCTCATACCGGCCATCGTCCGTGACTTGTTGGATACTGCTTACAGACTTATGATGGAGTATTCTTGCCCTATGAAGTACACGTCTTATCCTCTGGACCGGCAATCCTGCGACATCATCATGGAGAGCAGTGAGTGTGTGACGTTTTCACCCGTGAAGACAGTGTCGTCAGTGAACCAAGACCTAACCATTCCAGCGAGATGTCGGACCCGTACACATGAGTGGCATGCAGTGCTTGGCCCGGATAGACACGTAACCCAAGCGCTATCTCATTAATATTCACTGCATAAGGGCATGACAACAAACTATTGGCATGGGTAGCCATGAACGGCAGTGGCAAATCATCCAGTGGCATGAATCTGGATGAGAAATGGCTTCACCTATTACAACCGTAGAGTGTATTCTGTTGCCTTTGTCATGATAGGCAGCGCTGCGAATGATACCCTTGGGCATCGAGCCATGCAGCTTAATATTCTATCACTTGAAAAAGATTTCCGTAAATTGCTCAGTGCATTTGCGAGGAACATTCATTTAGATAAGTCAGTAGTTGTAGCCTTATCCTCGGAGAAAAACCAGGAGAATGGAAAAATAGATTGGTTGATATTTCGACAACATGCCTTTATCAAAACAAGAGCAGAAGTGAAGCTCTGCTATTGTTTCGATAAAGGCATGTTGCCGAAATATCAACTAATCCACTTCTCCGAGGAATATTCTCCGAGGAATAAGGCCATAACTGCTATCTTATCTATGCGAAAAGATTTCCCGCGAAAGACAGCGTAAGGAAAGCTGACCATGGCAACCAGCTTCGTAAACGGCCGGCATGTTTTGCACGGTTTTTAATCGTGCCGTAATCAGTATATTATCGGGAACACTTGGGGTAATTTGTTCCCCAAAATTAGACAAATGATTTATTAAAAAGCAAATTGCTATACGGGGCTTTTGCAGACAGCGCAAAAAAGCTTCACGTCATGTAATCGGCTGCAAGGCTTCCATGACTTAGCAGCACCTAGTGGACCCAACGATGGAGAGCGCCGCTCTTGTTGGTAATCGCAGGATAAATTAGGATATAGGGAAGCAGAGCACCCGGCGTATGTGGGTGGCTTCCGCTCAGTGCAACAAAAGAGCGAGCCGGCGCTACTACGTGCCTTCCAGAGCACAACGCTGGAGAGCGGGTCAGCACAAGGAAGGGTCGTGCCATCGCCGTACCAAACTGCAGCAGAGTGGGCCGGCACGATCATGGGCGGTGTGTAACAGAGGTGGCCGTCCGCTGACCCTCAGGCGGCTACCCGAAGGAGCGGCTCAACATCAGCTGGCACCCGGCCGGCGTGCGCCTGCCGTCACAACTCCATAACCATCAGTTCTCGGTGTCGATCAGCAGCGGCTACCACAGCCAGTCAACATACCCGTCAGGTACGGGGCCACGGGCCCACAGTCGGCCCTCGTCTGCCTGTCAGTGCTACGGCTCCACCAGCCCATACCAATGGAGTGGTCGCTGTCGCCCCTCAGGCCTTAAAACGGACTGCCCTCTGACTTCGCTATCTTGTGTCCTATTTTCTTAATAGGTTTTCGTTGAATAGTATTGTATGGGTCTTTCTTGACAAGGCTTCTTACCACAATAGTCCTATCGCTGCCTTCTCCGCTCTGTTTTCTGTTTTCCCGATTGCATACGACGCGGGTGGCTCAATTATAACTGCATCTACGAACATGCTGGTGAGCACGATACATAATTTAAGTTGCGAATTGTCAACGTCCACACAGCCAACATTACATCAGCGTCCACCAAGTCTGCCAACATCTGTCGTGCATCAGATTCTACACACTTATCGTCACGCCGCATCGCTCTTGTTCGACATTTCGCTGTTATATGTAACATTAGCCGTTGTCACTAAGGATCGCGGCGCAAATTTTTTGTATAAAACTTGAAAAACTGCGTTTATTTGCTAACTACACATCTTTGTCAACGATTTTCGGCTGAAAATGTCTCACAGAGATTTAAGACATGATTGTAAAGACGCGCAGTTTGATGAAATTGCATTTGGTGGTCATAAGCAAGATTACGACTTTATATACTAATATGATGCCAGATCGCCTCCTACCGAACCTTTTCAAAACCTTTCAAAAACGCTCGGTTGCATCTCTGACGCAGACGCCACAAAGCAAACTCCTATATCAAGCTTATAACAGCCCTGGTCATATGTATGCAGTGCATACAGAGCTTTCTTGGAGTACTCACAGAGCCTGCTTATGATACTTACAGAGCGGACAGGGCTTACATACCTTAATATGTTACAGGAGGAATGATCCTTAGATGAAATGATGCTCAAAGCCCGCCTTGCACCACACAGCACCGATGTAAACAATAATGGTGCAGCCAGCATTCAACGCTCTCAGCCGATGCACATTGCTGATTGCAGGCATATTATTTTCCTGGAAGTTGGGTGGACTGAAAGCATAGGCTGAAAAATGTCCATTAAGAGTCTCGTTAAATATAACAAACTTACGTTTAGTTGCATTCACGGGGCTTACACCCTGCATATGAGAGGGAAGGTTTTGCATTCCTACTGCGCTTTGAACTGAAATAACCATTTTGAAGATCACTTGGTGCAGTCCACATCCCGGCGCTTCTTAAGACCTAAACTCTTCTAATTTCTGAGCTATACGCCCACAAAGGTGTGCAGACCATTTCATGGAACCTATTTCAATGTCACCCAGGCATCCCTAATGTCATAATAACGTCATTCCAATCCTGCCATTCCGTTGGCTCTGCGGCGATCAAGGCTAAGAAGACAAACATGATTGTCTGTTCGTTGGTATCCGACGCTTGTAAACGCGGTTTCCAGATGTAACGACCGCCGATTGGCTTCGAATCAATATTGTGCAAGGTATGATGACGTAATCAGGCAATGACATTTTAATGAGTGTATTTACTGAACAGAGAAATGATGTTGTCTGCAGCAGCCACTTAAAATATGCCAATGTTTGTAAATGAACTAGCTTACTTCTTCATATCTGTTGCTTGATTCCATATCTTCAAATGTAGAACATTCTCTTAAATGGAACTACATGAAAGCACTATTTATCTTTTCGAAACGTATGGAATGTAATAACAATTCATAGAATCATTTTAAGAACTTGTTGAGAGCTTCTCAGCACATTAACATATCGTGGAAACGCCTAATGACAATTAAATAAACAATGTGAGCTGCGAAGTTTGCATGACACCATGTGCACTAAGTGGGCGTTTCCAGAACAGCTAGGTGTTTACAGATATGGACCTGACCACGCGTAAAGTTATACGGAAACTCATTTCCGTTTCGGGGCCATGAATGCCCATAGTGTTGGCCAGTTTCCGTACCCGATTCTGCGGTCACCAACCACCGCACTGCTCGCCAGGCTCAGGTGGCCAATTCGCTATGCCAGCAAGCAGCGGTGGTTTCCGAGGACACATGGACACAAAAGCCCATGGCCGTTGCGCATACAAGGCTATGTTGCTTGCCACTCTGGCTGGATCGATCAATAGAATCGGCGGTGCCCTGTTCTGTTCCATGCGTCGAATACACATAGACCGCGTAAATGCGCCTCGATCCGCTCCCTCTGCTTATGAAAGAAAATGCTACACTAAATCATCGCCACTTTTATCATCATTGCAATCATTGCAATAACTCATCACCACGCCGCAATGAACATGTTTATCGGCATGGAAGGTAACGTCACATGCGACGCCAAGCGCAGACTACCGCGCGCGAAGTCCGCTGTAAGGCCGTGGCTCGGCGCCCTCGGCCATCGGCTTTTGACGCTCGCTGAGTAAGTACGCGCCGTGTGTGTGGTGAGCGCAGCAAGCCCATAGACTGAAAATTATTGCACTGAAGCTGACTGTTGAAAGGCATTGATTTCATTTAGCCAGGAGCTTGATTTTGCCTAGATATACCATCAGGGGAGAAGGTAGGGCACGGGGTGCACCTGTCCCCTTAGGTCCCGGGAGGTATCCCAAGTGTCCTCGGCACCACCAATTAAGGGCCGATTAAAGAAACGGAAGGGCCGGTCGGAGGCCGTATTAAGGAACCCGGCGCGCTGGCCCATGACCTTCCAATGGCCGAAAGTCGTGTTAAAGGACCCGACCTGCATCAAACACCAATCAGAGAGCCTCGTCCTTTAACCGGGGACATCTAGGGCAGCAATGGTTCCCATGTTTATCGGAGGTCATCGATACCGAACAGTCAGGCCGGTGTCCCCTGTGCTAGGAGCTGCTAAGATAATGGGAGACCCGAGTCATTCAGGAACCTGCGGGTCCTAGCACGGAACTCTGCATCGGGCAAGGGGTCTCGGGTCGACCAGAACTTATTTTGGGGAAAGGGCTGGGACATGGCACCCATTGCCACAGGACGTCTTGCGGCGGTCAGTGTGCTCTGCCAGTAAATGGAGATGTGACAAATGACGCTCAAGGGATCCCAAATGAGATACTGCATGAGCCCGGTGTCAGGTGGCGGGGGCAGTGAAGAACGAGCCGTACGCCTCGTATCGACCACGACCTTGATAAGTATAATTGCGGCCCCTGTGCCAATTATTCGACCCTCCGTGCCGCCAAAGGACCCTTTGGCATCGGCGAGGTCCGTGCGTTGATCCGGGCCAACCGTTTCAGTCAGAGAGCGTCATAGGCCAAAGAGGAAAGCGATCCAATGTATGATGCATCCCTCTGAGGGACACCGAATGAACCAGGGGGACACGGCCACCGGATCAAGCAGGTGGCCTCGGCCGGCCTCCGTGTCACCAGCATGGCAGCCGTTAAGTACCCTAGATGAGACGGAAAGACCCTTCATTTCCCGACCGGAGAAAAAAAGTGAGCCCCACACTGATCTACTCACAAGCCTCCTATCGGGGCAGGTAACGGTTCCCTTGTGTTCAGTCCAGAGCTCCCTCAATGAATACGCCTGCCGGCATAGCTAGATGGAAAACAAATTCAAAAAAATTGAAAAAAGACCTCCTCGAAATGAAGCTGGCCAAATCTGCTGACTTTTTGGGAGGAGCGACTTTTTCACTGGAAGAACTTCTTTAGGTTCTTTATCTTGACTCTGGTGACACTCCTGGGTCTCATGGCATCCTTGTGTGGCTCGATATCAAAATTATGAGGACATTTTTTGTCGTAAAGGTGGGAACTAAACAATTTGGAAAACTGAGAGATCGTCTGGTTATTACACCAGCCCCTAGGTACATCCGTTGGCGTATTGATATGACACTCTGCTTATGGGACCCACCGTCTGACCCACATGAGAGGACGCTCCGGGTCACTTCCCACGCCGGCCAAGTCGTAATCAAACTGTCAAAATACTTGGCAATGGTGAGCGGCATAGCCAGGCGAACGCTTCCCGCTAATACCCAGGACCATAACCCATGATAACACGATGCATATTGGATGCGTTGGGGTTGAAAATGTGAGCCTGGGGTTCTGTTCCTTCACTTTAAGCACATCACATCTACGCGTGACAAGACAACAAAAAGGAAAGTTATCGATGCAAGGAAGGTCACACATGACTCACCCTCTTGCCACGCATGCTCAGCGTCGTGTTGTTGCTCCCGAACATGGGGCATTGATCGTCCCGTGTCCGACCTTGCTGCAGGCACGTACTCGGCGGTCGGATTCCGGCTTAATCTGCAGCGCAAGGTGCAGTTCTACCTGCTGCAGGCGTACCTGCCGTCGGCGCTGCTCGTGGCTGTGGCCGGCGTGTCGTTCCTGGTGCCGGCGTCAGCAGTGCCTGGCCGCATGGCACTCTGTATCACCACTCTGCTCGCCGTCACCACCATGTTCGCCGCCGAGAGGTACAGGACCACGTGCGGCACGAACTGGCCGACTACTTGTCGCGCTGTCGGGGCCCTAAGCACCACCTCTCTGTCTCGGCTTCCAGTCGTCCGGTCTGATGTCTCCAGAACAAGTTGAGCCTTGATACTCCACTTGTCCAGCGCCGGATAACTGCCGCTGCCGTCGACCCATACGCTCTCTTAAACCTCAGTTTTAGGCTACAATATCGCCATGTGGAAGTGGGCATCCTTCCAGCAGTCGACGACGCATGCGTGATAGAGCTCAGAACGTAGGCTGTGCTTACGTACGTACGTGCGAGCGTGCGTGCGTACGAGCGTGCGTGTGGTTTTGTTCAGCTTCTACCAGTTGGGCAGTCGGTTGTGGGATGGAGCTAGTGATGGGATGTAAACATAATGATTTGGTGATTATATCATCATACATTCATTGGGTGACGAATGTCTGCGATTGGGACTAAAGCCCCACCTGGAGCGTCGGAGAAGGTCGACACAAAACACGAAGTAGAGGTGTGATCGCTGATCGTGATCGAACTTAAAACGTGATCGCTGGTCGTGATCAAACTTAAAACGTGATCGCTGGTCGTGATCGAACTTAAAACGTGATCGCTGGTCGTGATCGAACTTAAAACGTGATCGCTGGTCGTGATCGAACTTAAAACGTGATCGCTGGTCGCGCGGGCGTGCCCCATTCGGAGGCGGGCGAACTCTTCGGACCGGTGTTTGCCCATGTTGCTCAATCGCTTCCTCAAGAAGTGCTTGATGCGGTGTGCATGCCGTTCCTGGGAACAAGATCCACTTGGTATGGGCGTGAATATAAATAGTTTCGGCCATCCTGCAGCGTGCTTTATCAGGACACATAGCTATACACGTAGTCTGGGGGATTGAGTGGCCTGCCCTTCGCAAGCACGTCTGCCCTGAGGTTTTCATCATCGTCCGATTGTCTTCGGACGCATAGAAAAGAAATTCCTTAAATGTAGACTGAAAGGAGTAAAATGTGTGTTGAATATGGAGTAAAATGTTATGAGTCACGGATGAGTGGCTTCGGATGAAAAGAAAAGGAGATTTTGAATCTGAGAAGATGACTGAAGACTAGATTTACGGTGCTTTAATGTGGCATCAGACTTGTAGAAAAGCTGAATGTTCAGCAGAAAAAACCTAAGCAGGTGGGTAAAGCTGAAACAGTTTCTTGGACTCGCCCCAGAGGATCACATCTACGACTTCCTCAGATTTGGATCATCAGTGAAAAACAAGAGTGCGTGCGAAAAAGGGTGGGTCGATCGCCTTCTCGAGACAGGTGACGGACTGTGCAAAACTTGTGGTGTAATTGTTATGGTCATTGTCTTAATGTGAGGGGTGTGGGTGTGGAACCAAACGCGATCATCAAGGGTTGTGCCAAGGCAAGCCTAAAAACTGTGCTTTATGCTTTCTTCGCCGTTGATTGAGTGGTATATGAAAGCGAGGCATAGGGCGATTTCTTCGCTTGAGACATTAGAAAGGATATGGGACATCGGGGGGGGGGGGGGGGGGGGGAGGGCCCGGGCAGACACAGGTAGGTCCCACTGCTGACTTCAGGCAGCAGCTTCGTTAAGATCCTCCCGGACACCTTGGGTAGCTCGGACCATGGAGGGTATGTGCACTGTAGGGCTACATCGTGCGTAAAAATTGAGTATAACGTGTAATGGGAAAAGATGATGGAAATGGTTGTAGAACTATCTGATTGTTCATGCTGAGGAATACTGTGAAAGCTATGATGCTGCCCTTGACGCATGGCATGTGGTTTGGTGTGGAGAGCGGAGGGAAACAAGCCGAATCTGAATAAAGGATGTGTCTGGAAGACATATTTCAGGAATTGCACGATTACCGCGAAAAAGTCCAACAACATAGATTTTAGAAAGCAGTGTGCCCAGATTTACCTCATCATACGCGCCAATCAAACCGAAAAAGACACACTGTGTGAGAGTGGGCAGCAAAGAAGCCACGTTGCAGGGATTTGTGAAACAAATAATGTTGCGATGCTGGTGTGTCATGACTTTTTTATGACTAACGTTTGCAACAAATGTTTGGATAATCGTATTGCTCTTCGTTGTGCGCAGTGTTTGCAAATACCCTGTATAGTATCACTTTTTTCGCGCCTGTGAATGTGACATGACGGTGAATCCGGATTTATTCGACACTTGAACGCCAGAACTAATTGCACTGATAATAATCACGTTCCTTGACGAAACGGAGCCAAGTCGGCGGAAGTTCACATGGCTCCTATTTCACCGTTTGTTTTCAGGGAGTCGGGCCCACGGGTCAGCTACATCAAGGCCATGGATGTATGGATGATCGGCTGCATGATGTTCTGCTTCTGCTGCACCGTTGAATACGCCGTGATCATCAGGTTCGAGCAGATAACAAACTTTAGTTGCACAGGTCATCACCAAAGTATGGTGACCAACGAGCTGTGGTCGGTTTTTTGGAGGTTAACAGGCATCGAATATGTGTGATTTATATTAAGTGACCCAGGGACGAGGAAAGGTCAACATATTCATTTTTTGCCCGCCCACAAGATCAACATCTTTCCGAACCCCGATGAGAACAAAAGGCACGCCATTCCAGACGGCGTGGTAGTTTCACCGTAAGCAAGCAAGTGTGGAACATGTGGATCACGAACGCCCTGATCCATGGGCCAACAGAGGACAAAACTGCAATTTATTTTTGCCGACACAATGAAAGACATGCACAGAAGACCCACAGCAGGCACACAGACAACCCGCCAGCGACGAGCATGGAGGCCTGTCTGAACGTTATGTCCATAGCTCCATAAATCGTATGTCATTTATGTATCGCAACGTGAGGATCACGTCGACAGCTATTGATAGTCAATGCCGACCTGCTGCTTGAATTGTTTACACCATGTTCATGAATGAACGTCGCAGCTGAGTCACGGAGATTTTCATCGCTGTTGCTGTCGAATCCAATGTTTGCGGATATTCTATCTATTGGTACGGATAGCGGTCAGCAATGTTAAGTCATTCTGCGGATAAAAACCGGTCGCATCCTCCAAACCTACCCGTGTTCAATTGCCCCTTGGAGTATATTTCTACATGTTAAGGTATAATTTAGCGTAAAATGGACTTTGTACCGGGAACATCGGCTCTAATTCATACTGCTGGAAAGACGAATGTACTTGCATGCAACGCATTTTTTCGTTTCGTTGCAACGACGACATCATAAGACGTGTCTGACTTGTTTTGAAAATGGTGCGACACAAAAGTACTGCTCTGGTAGGACAAACAGGCAAACATTTTGTTTTGGAAATGTGATGATACTGTGTGCCGCAGTCATAGCGATATCGGCTATGGTGTTTCTATGGGAAAAAAAATTGCGACAATCAGTCTCAAGAAAGCTTATAGCATGAAGTATCTCCAATTATATCTCAAAATGTTTGTCCCGATAGCCCTGTTGATTGGCTTCAGATCCACTTACTCGTAGCTGAATGGGTTCGAGTCTCTTTAGGCGCTCGCTATTTTCCCCAGACTGGGATGGCTTGCGGACAGTGTAAGCGGTCGTGCCGCAAGTGGCGTGAGGTCAGCGAACAGGGCATGTGCTGAGCACTGTGACACGTTACACATTCACCACCAAGTTCTGCCGTTGACCTGAAATCGCACGATCGGGTGGCACAGAACGGGGCCCACACAACAAGCACGGCCTGGCGTTAGCTTTTATTTCATGAATGCATCCGTTGTAGGGTTTTGATTAAATATTTAAAACATTTTAATAATCCGCTTGTAAAAACTTTTCCAAATCTATTTTTTGAGCTACCTGTCGCCACATTGGCAGAAGAGTACGTTTCGTAGCTCTCTGCTACATGGGCTAAGAGCGCAGGTTGTCTTCCATAGAACTGAATGCATTTGTTGTCCAGTCCTGTGATGTATCAAATCAAAGTCCACCTTTTTCAGTCCATTTCACGGCGTGAGCAGGCAGTATCAAGGCTGCGAGATGGGATAGTCAAGGTTTGAAAGCTATAAGCCGCGTCGTCATTAGGACTGAGACGGTGTTAAGTCATGTAATATGCCTCCCGTTCATCATTTTCCAAATCTATGATTTAACTGATTTCGGCTGGACTCTGGACGAGCCGACCAAAAAAAGCCTACAATCAAACAAATAAGCCATGTACTACAGGTTTTGCGGCGCCCAAGAACCCAAGAATCCTTCGACAACACAATTGAGATGTGTTTGTTATCATTACCATTATCATCCATGATTTTTCATTCAGCGTTTTCAGTGTGCTACTAATGCGCCTGGGTCATGTCCTCGACCGCAGACTGGGGCCGGACCAGACGCAGAAGACGAAGGAGAGTTCCGTAGCTCCGTCTACACCCTGCCGTGCCAGCGCGACCGGTATCAAGCAAATCCAGGTCCAGCCGCTGGGCCAAAGCGTCAAGCCCTGCTCCTGGGACAGCCAGAGGCTGGCCAGAGGCATTGAGAAGTGGTCCGTTCGCTGTTACGCCTTCTTGTTTGCGGTCTTCAATGTGGTCTACTGGGTATACTATAGAGCGTAGACGTGTTGAAATGCATTGGCTGTCATGTGAGTCGCGATGCACGGTCCGGATGACAACCCGCCCCTGCGCTGTACGCCGCGCACCGTACAGCATCTTGCAGCACGGTTGCCGCATGCGCGCTGCATAGCTGCCAATGTATTGCCACTCTTTGGTATCGTCTGAGTAGTTGCCTTCCGCCTAATTCTGCGCGGTGAAAGGCCGACAATATGCCTACGTTACTTCGTCGAGCGAGCCCAACTTCCCCTGGAAAATTTCTTTTCCGAAAGCCCGTAAGTCACTTTTGCAAGCCTACTCGCAAGTTTTTTGCCGATTCACTTCTGACTGACGACTATAATGTTCAGTTGCGTGTGCTATAACAGCTAAAATTTACAATGCACCACGTTAATATTTACCACGCATTGTAGCAATGGCATGGCCATAAATCACATGCGTGTTTGTCATGTCTAATCATTATCAATTTTTCAGCCTTTCAAAACACATCTCATGCTGCAGCTGCCATGGACGCGTGTACATGGGCACATGCAAAGAATATAGCTGATTTGTTAAGCACATCGCGAGTTTCGAACGAGTACGAAACTCCTCACTTCGGTAAATGCGGGCTGGTTTGGGTTTGGTTTTCAAACACAGCCTTGTCTGTGGTCGTGTTTTAGCCAAATGCATCTGCTAGGTGGTACGAATTATGCAGTATCACAGGTGAGAGTGATGTTTTCATAGGAATATCGCTTTGGCAAAGGAATGTTTTTTGCGCACCGGTCTGCTGCGGCAGGCCATCATTCCACGACACAAAATATTGACCAGCGACTAATCTTGTTTGTCTGCAGCAGTTTGATTTCCATGACAACTGATATTCCCAGGCCAATCAGGCTGAAATCAGGTCAGTGTGATGTAGCTCGTGACAGTTTCAGGAAGCCTTGCCACCGCGGAGGGTTCGGGATGTTCTTGACATCTGTGACAACTAATACTCCAGATCAACCAGGCTAAAATCAGTCAGTGTGATGTGGCTTGTGACTGTTTCAGAGATCCTTGCCACTGCGGAAGGTGCGGGATGCTGTTGACGTTTACCTTTAATAAAATGGCCCTGCCTTCACTCATGTTTTTCATGGATAACATCTTTATGCAAAACCTCGTCCATGACAGATGAAGATGAAAAGCTATTTCTCTTTAATTGTAAGCTAATTTCATTCTTTTGCATGAAATTGCTTTCGTGCATGCATACCTTAATTGCTATTGGTTTATTTAAAGACAACTGGTATCCTCAGGCCAATCGGGCTAAAATCAGGTCAGTGTGATGTAACTCGCGACAGTTTCAGAAGGCCTTGGCGCCACGGAAGGATCGGGTTGCTGTTAACCTCTACCTATCACTGCCTTTATTCCCGTGCAGGAATCTCTATGCAGAACACCGCACATGGCAGGAGATGAAATCCTGTTTTTGTTCAGCCATAATTTATCGTCATGCTTGAGCTAAAACTGTTTTCTTGCGAAGCTTTTTTATCCTCTTACCCATGCATGATTTATATGGACTCCCTCGCAGCGATATGCGAGGGAGCACGTTCTTTGAAGAAGGTTTTTGTGACGAGCCTCAGTGGTGGCTTCGTTGGCAGTGTAGTCTGCGGACCCACTTGCTATATTTGGTTGCAACGATAGATGATAAAAGCAATAACGGAAGTACCGAAATATTAACGGCAGGCCGTTTCTTTCACGTGGCGAGGATTTTCTTCAGAGCTGCTAGCTGCTACGATTTTATGATGCACGTCAATGTGTGTCTGCTTGTGTGTCCGTTTGCAGTTTTTAGCCAGACGTACGGCACAGACGACTGTGTGAATTGGCGTAGAATTTGCGCATACGATGGCTACAAGTTTGTTATTTTGTAAGAATTTGGTAAAATTTACGCACACGAGCTTCGTGACGGTCCACGACAAAAATTCACGCCCGTCTGCTACTCATGGCGGTCGCAGCGCGCGCAAGAATGGTACGTCTTTTGACATTGAGCAGGGACACACTTTTTCGATAGCATGCCACAAGTCGCAAGTCGTCGATGGCATGCCGCAAAGCTCGAGCAATGGTGAAGACAACGTCCCCATGCACAGCGGACATCTAACTGATGCAGATGATCAAACAGCAGCAAAACATAATTCATTCACGCTGTGAATCGCTGACATGCAAATCAAAGTTATATGGCTGGAGGCGATGCCATACCAACATTTACGGCGTAGGTTCTTCGCAAAGTGAAGTAGGCCAGAACAGCTAAATAGTATCCATTCGATGTCCTAATCGCACGGAACAGCTCGTTTTTCAGGGAATGTGCCTGACTGATTCACAAATGTTAACGGCTTAGAATAGAAATGCCAACCGAGAACGCTTCCATATTGCTGAGACAAGAGTGAACCTTGCGTTACGAGTAGCAGCGTAGCAGTAGCGTTACGAGTTGCGTTACGAGCAGCAGCGTGACAGTAGCGTTACGAGGTGCGTTACGAGTAGCAGGACTTCCAGCACCAACAGCGTCGCCTCTTCGGGCAGTAAACCAAGCGGGAACCGTTTGTAAAACACCATAACATAGGCCTTTCTTAGCAAGTCTGCTTTCCAATAGCACCTATACAATGTGTTTAATCTTAAGTGAACAAACTCTAATTAAAAGCAAAAAACTGCATTATTACCTATATATATGCGCCAGCGCTGGTGTGATGTTCATCTTTCAAGCACGCAGGCTATGCACTTGGAACTTAAATCAATCATTATTTTCAGGTTTTTCTGTATTAACCGTTTTCACGAAGTACAACGGTGCGAAAAATTTTAAAGCTTGCAAAAATATGCCATCGCTTATCTTCTTGCGTCACAACTTTTAGGAACGGTTTTTGGCTACAAATGTTTTCCAGAGATTGA